CCACACGTGACGGCAGTATTCAAGGGCAGTGAGGATTTAAGCTTACAGTAGAAGCAGATGGGGTAGGCTGAAAAAACTTCTGGTGCGACATAAAAAGCAATCTTTCGCGCTGCACGAGAAGCAAGCTGAGCTATAAAAGGAGACCAGAATAAAAAGAAGTTATAGGCAATCCAAGAAGGGAAACAGAGTCTGCTGAACACACTTGGAAGGAATTAAAAGGTAAATGGGGAGGAGAATGAATGGTGTTTTGAGAAGTTGAAAGAAGAGAGGTTTTAGAACTATTAAATGAAACGGGGTTGGCAACACTCTGGGGGGAGACGTGTTCGAGATGGGAGCCCAGTGACACATTTACTGCACTACGGTCACTATCGTTGTTGGTTGGGGCATGGCGAGTATTACGGTAGGAGCGGGAGCAATGAGGAGTGGCGTCATCGGCAAAAGAATGGATTAGGTTGACAGTTTTGGAAAGATCATTAATAAATAGAAGAAAGAGGGTAGGCGCAAGTACTGAACTTTGGGGCGGATCAGCATTCACACGGAACAGCTGAGACAGAACCCTATCAACTCGGGCGGTGATGGCTCGCTTACTGAGGAAACTTGATATCCATGCTACGAGCGCTGAAGGGAACCCGAACATGGTTAGTTTTGCCAGGAGACCTGCTGCCAAACTCGGTCGAAGGCCTTTGAGATATCAAGCGAGTGCAACTGGCCAGGGTTGAGACAAAAGCCAGCAAGTCACCGGTGGAACAACGCTGTCGAAAGCCATACTGGCGGCGGCTCAGTAGCCCTTCATCTTCAAGGAACGTAAGTAGCTGGTCAGAGATGATAGTTTCAAGTACTTTCGAAAGAACAGATGTGAAGGAAAGGGGTTGGTAATTGTTGGGGTAAGAAAGATCGCATCTGGGAATGGGGAAACCACGGTGTGCTTCCCGGGGTTGGGTAGGAAAAAAGTTGGAGGGAAAGACCGAAAAGACGATGTAAACTAGGAGCCAGCTTGGGAGCAAACATTTTGAGGGCGATGGGTAGAATACCGTCCAGACCAAGTGGTTTGTTTGCGTCTAGAGAGCGCAATGTTTGACGGAATTTCCTATCATTATTATGAGACCTATAAGAGCTATCAGTGAAGTTGGAAAACGGTGGGGATATGGGATAATTAAGTGAGGTTGAGTTGGCGGCAAACTCGAAAGCAAAATCCTCATTTTTCCCTCGTGGTTGACATACAAGAACTAGGAGAATTACAGATAGTAGGAAAGTTGGAAGGACAGATATTACGGGAAATTGCTTTAGCAAAAGACCAAGTTTTGCGCCTTACAGCGAACGAAACGTTCTTTGGTTTTCAGTTTCAGTTTGTACAACCATTAACCACGCATATTCGTGCCCCGGTTTTGGTTTCTGTCTTTTGGCTGCCCATTTGGATGAAGAATAGGAGACGAAAGGAAAGTTAAAAGTGGAGTTAAACAGAAGATTGAGAATTTCAGTGATCTAAGGCTGCAAAGAAATTGGAGATGCACGAACGCCACTGTTTACGACACCCAGCCATATCGCTCAGTGTCTCTAACCAGCGGTTACAGATGCACGAACGCCACTGTTTACGACACCCAGCCATATCACTCAGTGTCTCTAACCATCAGGTACGATCATCTCGAGGTCCCTAGCCAGGGAGCCTAACAGGACCTATGTAACCCAGTCTCGTGGTTAGGGTTTTCATACCCTCGTGCCAGTTCTAAGTTTGATCACCCCTTGAATTTTTCACTCGGTGTCTGCTTCGGCGAATATAGCTCGCCGTGGCAACCTATCTAATGACATGCGTAACACATGCTCCAACCAACGTAATCTATGGAGGTCGACCACTTGCTCCAGTGCAACCGCGGTTGCCTAAAACTTTGCGCCTAACCTCAGCATTGCTCGTCCGGCTGCCCCACCAGATTCATGCAATGCTGCGTAGACAGCGATGCTCAAACATCGACAGTCCGTTTTTATCCTGTTCCCGTAGTGGCCAAGTCTCTGCACCGTAGGGCAGAACTAGCTGAACTGCTGCATCATACACTCGACAAACAAACAAAACTTATCCACCTGCTCTATTACTTCCCCAGTTAGAGTGAGGCCGGGTGCTGGACCGACCCAGTCTTGTAGTAGCATTTTACACTTCGAAAGTGCAAAACGCATACCGAATATGGCAATACTAGCACTCAAACATTCCAGAAAAGCTTGTAACTTACTTGGATCTTCACTTGGCAGAATAGTGTCGTCTGCATACTCTAGACCAGACAGTCTGCCACCTGGAAGTACATCTATGCCACTATCCTCGCACGAGGATAGGGCTGTTTCCA